TGCCACAAAATACATTTTAAATACTCAACATCAATGTCTCTTTACAGAAATCATGACCCAGTCACTCAAGATAATCCACAGACCTTGTTGTGAGCAGTTTCATGTAGGAACTATTTTCTTTCTTAAATAACATCTTTAAGTTCAAAGTATGTCACATATTGTGAGGAAGAAACTGATATTTGCATTATGTGCATCATTCCCTTCTTAAGAAAGAGAGAAAGTAGTGGAATCTATGATTTGTTAAAGATTTCTGAGGTTAGGTTTTGCTTTGCTGAACAACTTGTAACATGACTGCCGTACTTGCAAAATACCTGACCTTATGTACTCTGGTTGTTTCTGGGGTGTCTCTGATTTCATCCCCTGTATCCTGTACAAATGTGGTTCATGACATGCAAAGGCTGAGGCATAACTGATGAATTACAAGATGTCCCACACATTTATCTTGTGCTAATCTCTCCTGAAGCATTGCTCGCTTATCGGCCCTGTCTGCCATTGAGAGAAGATTAGCTTCGGTGAGCAGTTAGGAGCTTGGCTGAATTGAATTACATCCCATCTGTGCTTAACATGCCGCCTTTCCTGCTGCTGATGGATCATTGTTCCACTGTCTTCCTGTTGTGGCTCCGTTTGACAAATATATAGTAACAGGAGGAACGTGGGTGGCGGACTCTGCCTTGAAGCTTTGAAAATGGCCGATCTAATTGGCCAAACTGGCAGAGAGAGTGTAGCAAAAGTATGAATGTAACAGTGAATGACAAGCAACAAGCTGCTGCAAAAGAGCAAGTATGTTCATCAAACTCCTGCTTAAATAAACTACACAATGAAATCCTGTCGTACTGGTTGAAGTGCCTGAAGATTAGATGTGGCTCAGCTCACCATGATCGTTTTATCCTGCTCACTGGGTCCCATTTGTAAAACACTAAAGCTTTATTCTCCAAAGACGAGGTTCGCTTTCAAGGTTGCTGAATAGTTTTTGGGTTAGGCTCTGGCTGGCCCTAATCTCTGTTAAGAGGAGAATGGCAGGTTCATTGCGTAATGTGGGCAGATTGGCACAGAGCAGAGGGAAGAGGTCAGATACATGAACCGTTAATGTGCAGTAAGCCTGCGCAGCTCCTACCGGATCTCAACGTCTGAGTTTCCCTGTAAACAAACAAAAGCTTTGTTTACTTTCAGTGTTCCATACAAAAAGACATTGTGCGCATCCTGTAGGTTGAACAAACCCGTCAAGTGCTTTTTGTTCCTCAAACAACATTTGCAAAGCTGATTTTTAAAAGTATGAGGGGTGTAACAGCAGAGAAAACTCCCTGTTCAGAATGTGGCTCAGTGTTGGTGTCACAGTTCAGTACACGTTTGGTACAGCAGGGAAAACAAAACAAAAGCACAAAAACGAAAATAAAACTTTTTTTCATTAATTTCAAGACATGTAAAAATTCATCAGTCTCATTTGCAATAATTCATACTTTAACAATTAAGACACTCATAATGTCAATAAGAAAAAATTTAATAACAGAAATAAATAACACAAATGTTAGTGATGCTCAATCCAACAGGCTCTCACAGCACTTTGTGACCCAAGCTCCTAACACTGTGTTGTGTGGTGGTGACATGTAATGTGTTAAATCGCATGTTGGCGTCATGGTTGAATTTAGGCCAGTGGCGTTATTAGACCTGAGCGTCCGAAGCTTCAGCCCCCAAATGTTTTATGAACAGCCCAAATCTAAATAGACTGTATATGTATTTTAAAAATATATATATACCAAAAAACTGTTATCTAATAAGAACAAAATAACATAAAATCAAAAATCATATTTTGGGTCCCACAGAATTCTGTAGATTTGCAAAGCTGTCTGTTTCTACTTCATACTAAATCCTAATAACTACAAATATTTCATCACAACTTCTTATTAATCGAGAAAATAAATGAAAATGAAAAAAACATTTTTTAAGGGTTAATAAGATGCCTGAGTGCATCGGAAAAAAAAAGCATAAATGTAGAGCATGTTCATCGAAAATACATTCCCAGTGGAGATTCTGCCCGTACCCCTGTGCAGAGGATCACATTAATGATATCCTTAAATCCTAAAAAACACGTCTGGTCAGTCACCAGAACTTCCTGGACAGGTTCAGAAAAAGTATGTTTATTGGTTGAAATAACTGTATTTGTTAATTACGTCCTGTTGAACGCTGTAACGCAGCCTAGTCACATAATTACATCCTGTAAGTACCCAAAGTTAAAAGAAGTCAACACTGACTTTGTTCCAGAGGGGGGACACGAGCAGTGATCGGTCCGCTGGGTGAAAGTCTTCTTTGGGGGCCCATCTACTGACCTCCTCTCGACACGGAGTTTCTCGCCCTTTACAGTCTTTGGCCTTTGGAGTGGTAACTTTAACCACGTCCACTGCGTGATGTCATTGAACCTGGGGCTTTGTGTGTCCACCATGACAAAGGATCTTAAATGACTTTTCGTTTCTGCTGTTCTGGCACGAAATCTCAACACATGACATGCTCTCACCTCGTCATGTAGTGTTAAGAGGTTGTGATCTCTTCACATATTTATGTGAGACCAGGTTGGCTCCATCGTAACTCTCTGACCTGTTCACTCTGCTCTTTATACAGAGCAGAACAACGGACTGACTGAAATGTACATGTGACGGCACAGATCGTTGCAGGGTGACCATATTCTTAAATTCAGCAATCTGTACGTGTGAGTACGGTCACATGTATGCAGTGATATACACTCCATGGTTTCAGTTATTACTTTGACATAGTCAGAGTCTGCAGTGTGAGGCTGTCTGAACGAGCAGGACTCACCTCCCAGTCTGTTTTTGTCTCGTTCCTCTGACTGAAACATTCTGGTGATGCTGCTGTAAATTAAATGTTACCAACCATCACACCTCGTAACTTAATAAGAGCTCAACAGGCTGTAAAAAACACAACATGACTGAGCCGTCAGTCTGATGAGTTGCAGACAAATCACTACATCTTCTGTCCCTGGGCGATGGTGCAACACAATGTATCCGATATCCGAATGTGTAACTCAACAGTGCACGTGCAGATTTTGAAATGAAATCAGACTGTCAGAAACATTTGCTCTCCAGCTTCACTCAGTGTCAGCATGTATGATCAGATTTGATAGTTTGGGATCACTTACCTGCGTGTCACAACAATACAGAGTGTTGCAACATGACAGTTATTCATAACTCTGCCTGTTACAAGGCTCAGAGGTTGGCTGAGAGTCAGCTGCACGGCAGCAGCTGCAGACGGATCACTGGTGGTCTGAAAAATGGTGGTTTGGCCGAGTAAAACAGAAGGAAAGCTGCAAGTTTATCAGTTTATGTATGAAAGGTGTCTGTGTTTACTTCAAGAGAAATGTTACCTGGTGGAAAGTGCATTTTACACATTTGTTTTGAAAACTAGTTGAATTAATTAATTTATTCTTCTACTATTTTGTTCTTTAATTTGTGTTCTCAAGTATCACAATCGCATTAAACTGAAGTATTTGATTTGCATTTTCATTCATTTACTGTCTTATTTACTCAGTTTGTCTTCATCTAATGGCTCATTTATCCTTTACATACCGAAATAGTCTGTTGCAAACTTTGTAAACGTCCCTGCCCTCATACTTCCATGGGTCCTGTATGTTGGCATAGAAACAGCCAATAGATGGTACCAGAGGGCGGAGTCAAAAGTTTAACACAATAACAGACAAGGCGATGGTGGAGGAGGTCATAATATTGAACCTTTAAACAGAGGCAGCGTTGTAGACGGTGGTACTCTGTGAGGTCATTACATTTATCCCAAAATGGATGTAGAATTCTTTTCTCTATATATTATTACATATTACCAATTTGTTCTGTTCTGCCATCATTAAAACAAACTTTACAAAATTAGAGCCTGAACAAACCTGAGTCTAGAAAATCAGTTAGCACTCTTTGATTCATGTTGCTCCTAACTGGATATTCACCGGTACTAACCTTGTCAAAAATAAAGTCAAAAATAACAACAAAAAATACATTTTAAACAGACAAAAAAAAGAAATCAAAACTACATAGCCTCCTCACTTATTAGTGGTAGATGCGCAAATAAAAGAAAAATGACCAAATCAACAAAGTCAACAACATCAGGCAGGCAAAATGCTCCTGGTGTGCTACAACACCTTGTGGCAGACGGAACAAATCCAAGTCAAAGCGGGAACATGCCACAGCTGTGCCCAGTGGAAACCAGCTGTTATGAATATCAGCTGGTTCATTCAAAACTTCCACTGGTCGACTTCAGCATTATAAAATCTTGAAGTTTCTGTCTTGGAAAAGTGGCATCTCTTGTCCTTTGGTATCAGTGTACTTAAATATTCAGAAACCCACATATTGACCTGCGTCTCCACCAGTCTGAGATCTGCTGCACCACTGTGCATGTGCTGTTTATATCATCTCTGATTGGTCCCATCAGATCCAATAAGATTTTTACAGACTTCTGACTCCATATAGTAATGAAGGACAGACATGACCTGGATCTGAGGGTCGCTCCAAAACCAGGACAATACTGACGATTCACTCGCCTACTCTTTCCAGTACTGCAGGGGTGTGTGAATGTGGTGTGTCTTCACTGGAAACAATGATCCAATGAACACAGGAGTCTACTCACTTTTTCTTTTATAGCCGGCTGCACCTCTAAGCTGCAGTTAAATCACTGTGTCTCATTGTTTATTGTTGACCTGGGTGACAGAAAGAGCTGCTTTGTCCAGATAATGTCAGCCAGTAAATGTGGCCGGCGGTTTGTGGAGGCTAATCGCTGTTATGTGTGGTCACACTGATGAATCTGGAGTTTCAGCGTCACCAACAAACTGTGTCACTGCTATGTGCAGAGAAACCAGTGACATACTGGTCACATTGAGTTTAGAATTACTATAAATTGAATAATTATATAATATGTTGTTTGTGGTGGTATGTATTATATGTATAAAATCTGACTGACTGTCCTAACGCTCTGTCTCTTTTGACCTACAGATTTGGATACGCGTCTGTGTCCATTTACTGCTGTTCATCACGCTTGGGGTACATTCAAGTAAATTTGACGTCAACCCAGTGACAGATGACATCGCTAGTCTCTCTATTTTGGTAAGAACAACACTGTCAAACATTTTAAACTAAAGCCTCAGGCTAAATCACAGTTTAATATATTCAGCATCATACTTGCGTTTGGCCGTGTGGTCGAGCTAGTTTGTTGTCTCTGTTGAGTAGCTGTTGGCTAGTCACTCACTCTACAACAGGAAACAGCACTTCAAAATAAAAGCTCTGTGCTGGAAATTCACTATACTTAAAGATAGTGTGTTTTTTACAAACTTGACACATTTATGAGTCACTCATGATTCAGAATGGACCCAAGACCCACCAGTTGGGAAAAACTGCACTAGACTACTGTACTACGGCCCTTTTTACACAGAGGTAGTGCTATAGAGCCGCTACAAAGTCCCTTCCTTACACTGCCTCTGCATTTTTGCACAGAACCAAACAACGGCTGCATCATGTTGCTCCAGTGTGTGATTTTAGACAGCATGCTGGCATCCCAGTAGAGAAAAGCTGGCCCCTAAATGGCCTCTAGTGTGACATATAATATGAGCGTCGGGCTGGTTGTCCCTTTTGCACGGATGTCAATTTGGTCCTGTTACGACCTCTGTTGCCAGGTTAAAGGCGAGACAACTCTGTCCCCCCAAGCTGTGACTGCACTTTCTACAGAACATCAAAGCAGAATAGTGGCGTGAGACTTTCTCATCTTGAACAGACAGTTTAAAGCTTCTATTGAGTAACTCTCATACCTTAACAATAAGGTCAGAATCTTTGCTGCCACTGTTAAACCAGTTCTGTGTCTGGAAGGATGTGTGATGTTATAATTCATATTCTTTTCAGCAGCCTGGCGCCACCTGCTTTATTAGCAAAGTTAAGATGTATAAAGGTCAAAATCTGAGGTCATTAAAAAAAAAACATGTAAACTGATAGAAGAAGTGAGTGGGAAGCATCTGACTCACCACAAGAAAGTGTTTGTCCTGTATTGACTTTTGTTCATGTGCTACACAGCTAACCTCCTGCAGGCTTATCAGAGTGTCCCCACTCACTGTTCTTTCTTATACCTATGAAAAGTAATGCACTATGATATGTATACAACCCATGTGATCATGAGACAGGAAGCTGGGATCACATGACCTCTGAGTTTCAGGTGGTCCAGAGAAAGTCGGGTGACTTAGTATAAAGAGAGACAAAGTCCGTGAAGGGAGGCGGTTGGGTTGGATGGACGGGTCAAACAGACACAGGACTTTGACCCAAGACATGGGGGTTTGTGTTGTAAAACATCTGTTCGTAACACGACATTGTGACGTGACATTAAGTACGTAACGTGAACACACCCAACCACGATTCTTTTCCTAAACCTAACCGAACCGATGGGGGCGCTAATGACTCACGTGCACAACTCTTCCTAATATATACCAGTCATTGTATGAGGACATGCTGCATATATTAACATTTGGTTATTGTCTGTTTGCACTTTTTTAAATACAAGTTTATGAGCTGTGTTGCTACGTTTTAGGATCCAAATGAAATTTGTCTGCAATCTAACGTGGGGTTTTTTTCTCTCTCTCTTAACAGAGACAAAATATTCCTAAAGATTACAAAATTCCTGTACACTACGTTCCTAAAGAAGAGGTAAGATATCAGTCAGTCTGAAGAGATCTGTGTGACATTTGCATATTTTGACTTGTAATTTTCAGTAGAAACTGAGCATTACTCACACCATAACTCACACTGACACACACTTTAAAACATGATCACATTCATGCTCCAAAGAGCAAGAAAACCGTTGGCTATGTTTTCCTCAGCTACACCTTCATGCCAAACTTTGGCTGACCTTAGAACTGCTGTACCGTGCAAATATTGTGTCATGTGCCAAGTGCAGAGTTAAAGCGGAACGGCATCTAAATTAAGAGTTCCAGTATGTTATCTTTACAGTCGAGGAAAGTTCAATTAGTATTAGTTAACATGAGTTATACTCTCAAAGCCAGAAACCAGAGAAGGAAGTCTCAAACATGTGATGTCATAAGGTATAAAGTCTGGAGCTGCTCCATTGCTGATGAATTGGAGCTTGTTTGGAGTTTGTTTTCTCTTTTAAGCCAAAATGAGATTTTTTTTCTGTGGTATAGAGTTCACTTGTGAGTCAGAAAATGTTCCCATATATTCAGATCGTTCACCTGGCTGCTCTTAGTGTTGTTCCCCCATTCACTGTCAATGGAGCAGCTTCAGATACTTAATGACATCACAAATTTGAGTTGTAGCACTCTAGTTTTTGAATTTGGTAGAGCCATTCATTTTTACTAATATTTTTAGCCTGTCGTAGAGTTTCCCTTTAACTGTGAAAGTATCATCTGACTGGGTGGATTATTCGCCTTTGGTGGACGTTCAGTCTATTCAGAGCTTCTTATTGACGTTTTGATAAATGGAGTATTATGTATCTGATTATCTCACAGTGCATGCTGTTGCTTATTTAATGCCACATGTCTTCTTTTTCCTTTCCAGGGAGGGATGTGTTGGGTAAAATTAAACATCTTCTACTTGGAGGAGAGTTTACAAGATTTAGCACATAAGTTTGGAAACATTTCATCCAACAGAAAAGATATTAGCATATTCATCCAAATGCTCCAAGAACTGCGGCTCAACATGGGGTCTCTGGTAAGTTCCTCCTGTGGTTTCACCATTAGCTAACTGAATGTGTGGAAAACAGAGATAACATGTTCATTGTTTAGGTTTAAAAGTTGTGAACGTCACAGTTTTGCAGCCTTGATGTAAATATTTAAGCTGACATCCTGGAAATCGTTCTTTATTACGTCCAAACCACAAAATAGTTGACAGAATATCTAGAGTTGGACTCATAACGTCTTCACATGTGGACTAGATCCCCTACAGGGCAAATATACAGACTGTAGCTTTATGAGGCCAGACAGCTAGCAGGACCACCAAACAATAACATTATACAAACCTTTACTACAGTACACACATGACTAGAATATTATTTGCAGTGTCTTTTATTTTATTTAAGCCATATTTAACCATGCAAATCCCACTGAGATCAAACATTTATTTTTTCAAGGGAGACCTGGCCAAGACAAATGAGGTTCATTTATCCAACCAACTGCCCATAACTTTTATTATTAAATTAATAAAATCAATGACATTTATTTATGTATTTCATCTTTATAGCCAAGTTAATCTTTAACGATGTCCTTTGAAATTAACTGTGACCAGACAAACATGAATTTCTTTGAACTGTGTTTTTGTCTCTTCTCAGGAGCCCATCATGTATGACTTTGAGTGCCACTACAGGGAAGAGAGGTGGCAGACAGCGCGATACTTTGACTTTGTCAAAGACTTCCTTATAGCTGCACAGAATAAAGAAGATTCAGATGACTGTGACCCTCCTCCCTGTCCCACCACACCATACTCAGTAACAACAGAAAAATATTTAGAAGGTAATCAATTATTATATGTGGCCTGCTCGGTGTGCTTGAGTAATTATTTTGGCAATATAGACAATCATAATTTGAAGTGTGACATCGATGAACTGCAGTGAGTTTGTGTTTCACTTTGTGTGTATCTGCTTATTAAATCTGGGTATGGGTACTGGATACCTTTTTAGCTACCGTCTCTAGTGGAACATCTCCAGTGGAACGATACCTGCATTTGATCCTTAATGCGCCGAGGTTCTGATCCCAGACCGTCTCAACTCCCCACCAGATCAGCAGACCTTTTGTTGTTGCTGTCTCTGGAGCTGCTCTCTTCCTTGCTAAAGGTCTGTTCAGTGTCTGCACAGCTAGCATGAGCTAGCACAGTAGTAGTTAACATCCGACACCGAGCAGCTAATCCCAACAAACTCAAACCAACGGTGAAATGACGTTCCATAACGTTAGCTCTGTGATGCTAACAGTTAGCCCCGTCACTGTGCATGTGCAGCCCATGGACAAAAGGCTCTATGTCCACAGTATCAAAATTACCCAGTTGATCGGCGCTGCTTCCCTGTCATTGGGCCCATAGAGCCGAGTGGCACGAGCAGCTGACTTCCGGTTTAGAACTCCACTAACTTAAGTAGAGATGAAATAACAGTAACCTTTGTTTGGCCGCGACAAAAATGGGTTTCAAAGCCTGGCTCACTTCCTGCATGCCTGGTCCAGCCAGACAGACTCTCGAAGTGCAGTGTGTTGACAGAGTTGGCAGTTTAACATGCCACCAAAACCTTCGAGAGAATGGTTGTTCTACACACCACTCCAATTACATCACTTTCAGGGTACTAGTATTGTCATTTGTTAAGTGATACCCAGCCTTACTACAGTGTCAGTGACTGTTAATGATTATGGTCATTGTCTTTTTCTACCACATGGCCACTGGATGCATGACAAACAACATGTCATATTTTTATATTTTTTAAGACTATGAGACAGTTCTTTGAGAATCCTCATTTTTAAAAGTTACAAATCAGTCAACTCAAAGAACCTCCTAAAAGAAATCGGTACATTAGAGCTGAATGGCAGATCCCAGCTTCTGAATTGTGACGATCTTCTTTGTGTTTTAAATCCATATCAGAACAGTCTCTGGACTGCTGGTTGGACAGAGCCAGCAGCTTCCTGCCTTTGATAATGACAGATCATGACATTAGTTTCAGCCCTGCTGTGTCTTGATACAAGGTTTCTGGATGGATGTGTTGTGATGCAGAGACTGCAGCCAGAGATATTGGATGAAGGGAGATACCCAACTGTAGGCTTATCCAATGTTAAGAAAACAGTTACTCTTCCTGTCTCCTAAGTGGGCGTGGTTAGCTCTCCCTCCAATCAGAGCCTGTTCTCCCTCAACCCCCCCCACCACCATGTTGAACAGAGGCTCTGTGGATGTCTGTGTATGCGGATCGAGAAACAGGTGGAATGAAAATACATTCTTCCTATTATTGCAGCCTATTACTGCACAAAGCTTGGGCATTTTTTATTTATTACTAGCGGTAAATAACTGTTTGTAAACTAACTGTGATTTTACCGCCTGTTTATCAAGATCACGAGATCTCGCGAGAACTTGTTTTCTGAGACGGACAGGGCTCAAACAAAGTTAACTTTCTCTTGATCTGTGCAGATGAAAAATGCAGCTTTAGTGTCAGAATGTTGGTAAGATGTGTGGCTTGTGGAAAATGAACCCAATATTGCGTGGCGCTGACGTCACTGAATCAGGAAGTAAGCTGAGTTGGGTATCTCGCTTCATCCAGTATCTCTGCTGCAGCCTGGGAAAGCACGTCTGTTACCGGCACCATCATTAACTCCAGATAGAAGAAAGAGAATTGAGTCCATGGCCTCCTTCAGAGTCACCTGCAGATTATTTTCACTGCCTAAATATTTTCCCTGATGTTTGGCAGGCTTTACTCTGCATACTGCACAACTTTTATCAGCTTTTTAAACTTTAATATCACGCCTACCTGTTGTGATTTATAGATGTTTGGTCGCTTGTACATTCGATCACCATCGGTTCAAATTCCTATCAAATCAGAGGTAAACTGAGAACTTTGTTTTCTTTGAGGAAGGGGGCACGTTTGATGTAACACTTTCCTGCGGTGACATCGTCGGCTGAGACGAACAAATGGACTGAGAAACAAAAAAACACACGTGGTTTAAAATCCAGCTTTCTTTGGAAGAAGACTGTTGGATTTCACTGAGTGTGGTTTTGTCTCTTCATGTGGTTTAAGATGGGCACAGACTCAATACATTTTGTTCGGCAGTGTACATTTACATGTTACTGATCAGTAGGATGGGATGAAGTCCGGTTTTGTGGTAGATCTGCTGCATTTTTCCCACATAAATAAGGATCTCACTGCTCAGAGCAGCAACAGCCCACAAAGTCTGCGAGTCAGAGAATTTCAGTTTCACAGTTCAGATGCGTTTGGAATGAAGTTGGCCCACGATCTTATCAGGAGAAAGATTAAATCACCTGAACGGCTGCCAGCAAGTCTTTCTACGTGTGATTATTGGGTTTTTAAGTCCTGAGAACATTTGCTCAACATTTTGTCACAATAATTTCAGTAGAAGTTCACCATTTGGAGCTTCAAGAGCCTTGAGTCAAACTTTCAAAGGGTCACAGAATCACATATTTGTCACTCCTAGTTGTGTCTCGCCCATGGACTCCATTTGTCACTATGAAAGCTGCTGAGTGTAGCTACTTCCTGTTTAGCATTCCGCTAATTTGAATGGGGATCAAAGAGTCAATTGTGCACCTCTCTCTCAGACTTTCCAAATGCTATCAGACCTAATGGATAACACACTGAGAGTAAAATGAGTCATTTGCAGGGGTTGTGATGCTCAAGAAAAAAAAAAGATCTATCTAAAGATCATCTACAGCTATGGTCAATGTTGGGGAGTAACTAGTCACAAGTAACGGAGTAACATGATTAAATTACAGTTACTAATCAAGATTTTGGTTTTTACAAAGGGGTTTCATATGAATATATTCTTTACAGTAAAACGTATCTTTGTAGAATGAAACAGTGAAAAAGTGTAAAAATGATTCTTGAAGCTGGAAACTCATGTTTAGCGTTGAAAAATGAAACTAGTTGTGACCAACTACGTATACTCTGTTTTGCAGCCAGCCCCAAGTGGGCACTGCAGTTTTTGGCTTCATTTTCCAGCCCTGGACGTTCCTGCTTGGTTTTTAGTTTTTCTTTCTTCATAAAAAAGTAGTTCCAACGACTTTGTTTACATCAGTCTGAGAGTAACCAGAGCATTGTTTCTGGTGAGACACATGTCAGATGTGGATATCCCCAAACCTCAACAAATAAATCCAAAGTGACAGTGATAAGTGAAAAAATGTGTTTTTGATTTGGGTTAACCAACTCTTTTAGTCTTTTATTGTAAAAACCAACATCAGCGACAGTTGATAATGTAGGTCACACTTCCCACACATTTTCTGAGCCTACAGATTCAAACCAGCAACATTCCAGCCACAAGTTCACTTCTGCTTGTAAAAGCCCCGCCGTCCTCTTTGGACTATTGTGAACGGGCTCTATTTAGGACAGATCTCTGGTGGCCGCGTCGAGAAGCTTTTAATCCAGGAACCATTATTTCTTCACAAGAACTTTGCAAGATAAAAACTCAGAATGGTCTCAGTGCTTCGCCGGCCCATTGAGACGTGGCTGAGTCACAGGACTGAGGGAAGGTGTCCCCAGGTAGCGCATGTGAAAAGGAAGAAAAGGGCCGAAACCTGATTGTGTACGTGTTGATTACAGAGCAATCTTCCAATCTTCCCAAGCGCTTTGCTTTTCTCTGCCAGAGTGGTCGGATTAGGTCCTTTGTGTGTGTATGTGTGGGGCGGGGGTGAAAAAAAAAAAAAGACAGCGTTGAGTTGACTTTTTAGCACCTGACAATGACATGTTTTCATCATATGGCACCAGCACTCCACCCTCTCCCCCTTTTTCACTCCCCCTCATTTTGTGCTCGTCTCCTCCAGTGACCCCCGAGCTCACCCACTCATCTTCTTCTCTGTTTTTTCCTCAGAATCGCAACCATCCAGCTCGGAGTGTGCAACAGGCTGCAGTCCAAGTAAGTTTGCAATTCTCAGTATTTCTGAGAAAACAAGTGTCAGGTTAATGATGGGGTTGCAAAACCAGCCCAGCTGGTGTGTCAGAGCGGCAGCTTTTGCCGGCTATAGTATTTTGTCACATTGTACAGCAAGTCAGCCCATTTCCCTGGAGCTGCTGTCACTTGATTAATGACGGACTGCGGGGCAAATTCCACATCACGTTTATTGTCTCATGTCTTATCTTGTCTGGCTTTTCTCTACCCACCTTGTGAAGACCCTCCCGTGAACTACATGTTCAAAAGAATGTAAAGTTAATTATTATTTGTAGAGAAACTTACACAGTAATATTGTGTAAGCGCTTAAAGGAATACCTCACCCACAGAATGATTATTTGCATATCAGTTACTCATGTTACAAAGACTTTGTGAAGAAAAATGTTTTTCTTGCACGCCTCCACGGTGAACGAAGAATCAAAAAACTGACTCTCCCACAACTCGTGCAGTAAAATCCAAGTCTCATTTAGACAAGTCTCTCAGCACTTCCCAGCGCATGCATTTATGCTAAAACCTGACTATTTATAACACTGAGCGTACGAGTAGCGCACCTGGGCAAGGTGTCATACCGTTGTTCCAACAGCCCAAAATTCTAAAGCCCCATAAGTCCAAAAAATATCCCATCAAAACAAAATTTCTCCAACAGCCCGTCAAACCAAAAACAAACAGGGATCTGCAATAAACAAACTCTATCAAAACATCCTTTTACAAAGTCATTTATCCTGCTGTATGCTCAGTTCTTCCTTAACATCTGCTTTTTTGCTCAAACCTTTCAGTTTAAAACACTTGCATAAACAGTCTCATGCATGGAGGAGTGACAAGCGCGTGTGTTGGAACTCTGCACAATGGAATCCACCAGCAGAGTTTGAACACACGTGCTTTGCCAGGGCGACTGTCCTACATTCTGAAGCCCTGTTAGTCCGGGAAGTCTGGAAAATGTCCCATTGGACCAAAACCCTAGGGCTGATCTGAATACTTGAAATGAATGATGAAATGAGTATCCGGTATGGATAATGTGCTTTTTACAAATACGAGTATCATCTGAGTAAAAAGTGTCAATATGTGGTGATGAAGGAAAATCCTCAACTGCAGAGCTGTTACTCTTGTGATCAAATGAATATGGCAACTTCTGATCAAGACATATCAATTTCAGGTTTAATAACAACTTCCGGTTAGGCTCCACCCATTTTGGTTGAAAGCCCACCAATTTTAGGTTTTAACTCCACCTATTCAGAGCACATATAGGGATACATTCATAATTTTGTGGGTTGAACAGACGCAGACACAAATAATAGCGTACTCGCTTGTCCCTACAAAAGCCCATTTATTCAACAGCCCATTATCCCAAAAACAAACACCCAGTGCTCTGCAGCCCAGTTTGTCTGGAAATCCTCCCGCCACAGATAAATTGCAACAACTGTGGTGAATGTGGGTTCAGCTGTAACATACCTGAGGTTTACAGAAATGTACTGTGCCAACATTTCTGGCGATTTGATTTCGCCCAGAAGAGAAAAGAAAAAGATGTTGTTGGGGGTTTTTTGATGATAGGACAGCATAGTGTGAAAGGGGGGGGGGGGGGGGGGGGAGAGAATGACACGCAGCAAAGGGCTGCAGGCGAGAATCGAACCTGCGGCTGCTGCAGCAAGGACTGAGCCTTTGTACATGGGGCCCTGCTCTAACCACTAAGGCACCAACGCCCCAGGAATAAAAAAAAAAAAAAAAACACGGATCAGTTATATTTATATGCTATTTTGCAGATGCGTTGAAAATTTACGTTTCTGAAAAAGTGCTGTGGTGACGGTGTGGTTACTCACATGGTTATGGTCAGGCAAAAAACATGCTTTGGGTTAAAACACCATGCTGGTCTCTAGAAAAGCACAGACGCCCAGGATCAGTGGCTCAAATGCCTCTGGGAAACTAAAACGAACTGCAGGAAGTTTCTATTTTTGGAGGAACCGCTGTTTGTTTTTGGTACGACGGGCTGTCTGAGGGACATTTTTTGGAACAATGGTGTGACACCTTGCCCAGGTGTGCCACTGGTATGCAGACATGTCAGATCGTTTAATGATGTAGTTTGACACTTAGAAGGCAGCTGATGGTTTTCTGTGTTTCAGTTAAATCTGAGTTTTACATGTGTATGTAGCGGCATGATTTTGTGACATCACAACTATTATGGAAGCCAATCATGGTGCAATATGGATTTATATAATAGTCTGTAATGTCCAGTGTAGGGCTGTACCCCACTCAGAATCAGTCGATTCAGATTTGGCTGTTTAGTACGAATAATTGCTTTGTTTTGTTTTTGTGTAAAGATTTAAAGTTTAATCAGGCTCAGTGGGACGTTCAGTGTGACGGTTGTATTCATGCAATATAATCGAATCTGACATGTGCAACTTTTTTTTTTTCCAACACTAGATAACAAACAAACCAGAGACTGTGTCATATTAAGTATCTGTGAACTGTAGATTCACCACTTCTAAGCAGAAGAGAGAAGATAATGTTATCTTGGAGCTTTACAGTGGAAACTTCAAAGTCGCATCCACAGCTGTCTGTACCACAGAGTAGTGTGAAAGATAAATCCAAGGACCAAAGCGACCCCAGAAGCACACTGCACAGCTCAGTGACTGCGACTGCTCGACTTGAAGCAGTCGCAGTCACTGAGGGTCTCCGACTGATGATGTGAAATAAATTTGAATGACTGGACTTTAATGGAGCAGCCCTGCACCACTGTCGCAGATAAACACTTGAAACTCCAACAGTAAGTTTATTAATGAGATATAGAAATTAAAAGTTAGAAGAACAATGAAAGCAAGTCTAGAATTAGGTTAAAACAATCTGTAAATCACCAACCCAACATTTCTGGGTCAAAGCCTTTATCATCAAGGAGTAAGAGATGGAGCAAATGTTATGATTTGTTACTAAAAGAGTTTGTGTCTCTGTTTCTGTCCCAGAATATGAACAGAGCGCCCTGACTGAGGTGGTGGAGCGAAGCCTTCTCTCCTTACTGTTCATCCCTCTCATAGCTCTCGTATTCCTGCTTGTGTGGAAGGTGAGCCGACCTTTGACCCCTAACACTATAAGCATATTCATGTCCTGAGACGCTCTGGAGATTGGACTGTTTGTTGCTGGCCTATTTTATTGCCGCTTTGTTCCGTGGGATTTATGGCAGCCGGCAAAAGCCTTTCAACTGTCTTCAGATGCTGTGCAGCTGGAACTGAGAGCCGTGGGATTAATAATTATTTCCCACTCTGAAACAGGTCCGATCATGGAGGAACGAGGAGGATCTTCAACAGAATCCTGGAGAAGGTGGACTCTTCACAGGAACAGAAGCGACTGCACCTCCACTAGATGCTGAAATATCAGAAAAGTGAGCTGGTGTTTTTTTTTCTCGTTGACTCTACAGTCGGTGCCAGTGTTCATTTCATTGACAAAAACTGTGACAAAAATATTTCAACAAGCTTTTTTCCATGAAAAAAACATCTTACATAAATCAGCCTAACTGGATTAGTTTAAAGATTAAAAAAAAAAACATACACAAAACATACTGACTAAAAATAATGACTAAGACGTCATGATGTTTCATTGACTAATATGTTAAAATGGGACTAAGTAATAAGAACAAATAAGGATTAAAAAATAATAAGAATTTTTGTCTCAAGACTAAGACTAAATTTAAAATAGCTGTCAAAATGTAAACTGCTCAGTGCAACATTTCAGCAGCGAACAATTTCCCTTTATATAGCTCACTGCCTGCAGATACTGGGAAAGGCTACACTTTAGTTCATTGGTCCCACAAAGATTATTTTATCTTATTGATGTACATATTTGAGTATTTCCTCTTCGTGGTTTTGTGACACAGATGCTTCAGAATCAGACAATAAGGCGCCATGGTTTCCAGTGATTTTTGAACAGCTAAGGGGCATCGTCTGTCATGACGCAGGAAGGAATACATTTACCCAAAGACACACAGCAACAAAACAATGCAATAATTCATTCTTCCTCCGATTAACGTAGTTCCCCAGCAACATTTGGCAGAAAGGTTTCCAATTAAATACAGTTACAGTGGAAAGAGCTGGTTGCTTTACAAATATGTGGCGACACGGAGTCAGAGAAAATCCCCTCTGTGGGCTCCAGTGTAGCTAATGTCAGGAGAGAGAAAGAAAAAGTTTCATGTTGCAGTTACAATAAAACCACACATGTATTTATTGGCATGGTTAGTTGCTGAGTAGCCAAACAAGCTAACCTACACTGTATGAAAATTATATCATTAGTAACGGACAACATAGCGAGAGAAAAGTGAGCCTGATAAGCTACAAATAAAAACATGCAAACTAGCTGAAGTTAAATTGGTAACTTACCGTAGATTGCTGTAATTTGTCCCCTTGAATGCAGATAAAAGGCTGCTTGGCAGCAGTGACAGCAGGTATTTCTCTAACAAAGCGACAGAAACCAGTGGCTGCTCAAACATTTTATCTCTGCAGGCTATCTCTTATTCTTTACTGGCATCTTTGTGGTTTTATGACAGTTGCGTTCTTCTCACCAGTCTCCTCCTGGCAGATGATAAATGATCAGGGCTTTAGTTGGCGGGTGCCCTCTTAAGCTCTGTGGCCCATGTGATAGTAATGAAACTGTAATGTGGTCATATTTTACAGTGGCTTTGAACGTGGCTCCACCACTGATAATCAAACACTGCAGCTATCTGTTTTCTAAGAAGAAGAGAGACCAAATCATAATGTTTGTTTACAACAACTTCTGGGTTGAAAACGTGTGAGCAAAAATATCCGTTATATTTAGAATATTTTTACCGCTTTACCTTGCTGTCAGACAGCCCTCAATGATGGGGGGCTGTCCATTGACATTTTATGTAGCAGAACACGGGAGTTGCCGGTCTACCGTGGCCTCAATTGGTTAGTGTGTAAGGTAAGGCGCTAAAAATATTCCATTTATGGGGCATCGGTAGCTTAGTGGATAGTGCCGGCGCTCCACGTATGGAGGTGATGCCTCACTGCAGCGGTCGCGAGTTTGACTCTGGCTTGCAACCCTCTGCTGCATGTCGTCCCCCCACTCTCTCTCTCTCTCTCTCTCTCTCTATCCCCACTTCACAATCTTCACTCTGTCCTGTCCATTAAAGGCAAAACAGCCCAAAAAATAATCTTTAAAAAAAAACAAACAAATAAATTGATTTTTTTTATTATTATTATTGGTGTGTCTTTTCAGGGTGCTAAAGGACATTTTCCTGTGGTCCCGTCCACAGCAGCACATTGTTTAGCTTCCCTGTCATTTGGTTTAACAGAGGCTAGCAAAGCAACAGAAAAAATAACTGTTAAGATTTCACATTAATTAGCCTGTTTTTATAGACTTCTTTGATAACTGAATTTTCATTCATTCATTCTGTCCTTGCCAGGAGAACTTTTATTTTACATGAATTCAAAAGCAAAGCATAGAAAGGCTCCTGACAGCTTCTGAGCCATCGACACATCAGCCAGTCTCCTCTGATTAATCAGCCGTGTAGGAGGTGAAGGTCACACTCTAATATTCTCCTTCTGTCCAATTACAGAAACAAGTTGCAAATCATTGAAATAGTGTAACGCCTCTACCCTTCGATGTTCTTCAGCGTGATTGGTGAGTTTTTTTTATGTCACTAGAGCAACAAAAACAAAATGACAGTCTCTAAAACAAAGTCTGGTTTGACCTCTTGCCTGACACTGTGCTCTAAACCCTCTCTCACAGGGCTCTACTCTTTTCTCCTCTTGGTGTCCAAAGGTGATGAAAAACAAACACAAAGCTGTAATCCATAGCGACATCTCAAAGGTAAAAGGCCTGTTTTTGACTGCGCTCGTAAACGACGGCAGATTCACGATCGCCATGACCAACATTCCTCTGGATAAACCATGCCTGCTACCGTATGGATAAGCTTGCCTTTCTTGTAAGACTGCATTAACCCCATGCTTTTGAAAAAGACTGACATTTTAGCAGAGAGCCCCCCGTACCACACCCCCACTGGATTCTCTTGCTCCATCAGAACCTGCTGCATCATGAACTCTTCAGGGAGAGACCCCCCTCCCCTCCCCCAACCCCCCTCAGCACGTTGCTACAGTCTGCCTGCGTTTTTTGGACCCACCAGTTCATCTTCAGACAGCACAGCAGAGAGTGACACTGACACTGGTATCTCCTGTATGAACTGAGGCATGAATTACTACCTCCGGTGACCCTCGTTAACCACATCTTCAACAGCTCTGCAGTTTGATCTTAGTCCAGGGTTTTTCCTAAAGAATATAATGTTAAACATTGTAGTGCCAAGGTGTAGTCACAGTGTCTGGTTTAGGCGTGTACCCGCGGGGGTGTGTGATGTATTTATTTATTGGTAGCAGCACTGAGCTGCTGCTGTTGATGAAATGTTTCAAGCAATCATTTAAGAGCACCTCTACTAATGGGTCACATTTAAAGAACAGTCTACAGTATATACTAACACATCGTAAACCCCAAAAACACACTCTCCTGAACAAGTTACAATTCTTCGTATGATGTTGTTGTTGTCGGTGTTTATGACTCGGGTGATTTAGGTTGTGTGAATGGATTACATGGAGAACAGATCATATAT